TGGCGTTTTCAATTTTTTTGGGGCTAAGTACTGCACCTTAATGGGCGCTTTGCATAACAGAAAATTAATCAAATATATGAATGGTAACACTTGCGTCAAGCGAAACAACACCATGTAGGGGTACTGACTGAAGTCTCTAATTCGGATAATAGTCATTCATTGATCCGGTATAGTTCCAAACTTTTTAATATATTTTTTCAGTTTTCTTCTTGTTGTATTCAACACATCAACACAGTCCAAACTAGCTACCGCTAGCCATTATCAGTTCCATTTGTCCTAATCCCATTTCCCAGCCCCCATTTTCACCAAATCCCATATTCCCAGCTTATGCTTTGCTCAAATCACATTCTAAGTTCCATTTTTTGATGGTTTTTTGTTTGCTTGTTTGTTTGTTTGTTCGTTCGGTTTGTGAATCCCATTYCCAGCATTAAAAACACATTTTCCCAGTGGCTCAACATTTTCAACCTTTTTTACGTCAGCCGGGTTTTTAAATGTATTAATTGGMTCAACATTCAACACACTGGTTGGTAATACACCGGTTTCAGCAATTCCCAGAGCCGTTCAACTCAGAGGACAATAAATTAAATGAATTTTACTTCTCATGAGAGTAAGATTCTATTGTATTGACGGTCCTTTGAATAGGGCTACATTGGGAATATCCTACAAGGGGTGTTCAGTTATACATTGATCMGGTAGGTGAAACACAGCTGTCGAGGCTGCACAAACAAGAAAGAAAGACGATACGACCAGTTTGTCACATTAAATCGTAGTTGCTCCCAGTTACCAGAAAGTCGCTGAAAACTTGAAAATTGAGCAACAGGGTGAATTTAAGAAGGCGACAGATGCGTCAACTCATAATGCTTCATACGTGCGTTGTTTAAATAACGATTCATGAAGATCCACGCTGCGTCAACACGTAGTATCAAATTTATAGCCTTTTCATTAACACGCGCGAAAATGTATTGGATTGACATTGTTACAAAAAAAAGTTTTTTTTAGTGGACGTCAATTAAAGCGTTACGTTTTCATGACATGATCATGAAGTTTTCAAGGGCAGTTGCGTGTGCAATGTCAWGGAAACGCAACCTTGATTGACGTTCATCCATATTGCCTAGTAAATAAAATCTGTGAATGTCATAAGAGGTAAGCAAAGTTTTATTTCATCAACTAAA